GGGGAGTCAAGTCGACTAGTAAAACATAGGGAGGTCGACTGGTGTTTACTTTTTTACCTTATTATATTATTTTGCCATCATCAAAAAGGGGGAGATTGTTAGATCAAGTTTTAATGATGCAAATAATATACATGTGCAGGAAATCAAGTTCAAGAAGTAAAGAAGACTGCTCGAATGGTTCATGATGAACAAGGGAAGAAATCAATCAGCATGTGATCAGCAAATCTGGATTGGTCTCGTAAATCTGGGCGCAATCTAATCAATGAATCAATCAGCAATAACAATGATTAGCTGAGCTGGAAAAAATAAAATGAGCCTTGGTCAAAGGCACGAATCATGGGCAGAATCACGGAAGACTAAAGGATACGAGGAGATCTGGAAAGCGACCACATTTGGAAGATCCAACAATCAAGGAAAGTAATCAAGAGAAGCAACGGCTCATTCCTTATTCTTGGAAAGAATCAATTTTCTCCAAGGATCAAATCTCTTGGGTTGTCAAGCCTCTACCATCCATCAAAGTATTTATACACCCTTGTAAACCCTAGCTTAGACATACTTTGATCAAACCAAATCACTCTCTTTATCCTACTGCAAACAAGCATTGTAGTTCACTAAGATCTGTTGTGTAACAAGTCAGGGATAGAAAGAGAGCGCACAACTGGTGAGGCATTGTATCAAAAACGAGTGTTAGAGAAACTGAGCGATATACCCCACATCTGTACTCGGAAGAAACTAATTTACTGAAGAGAACTCCCTTACAACCCAAGGGGACTGGATTAGGATTCACATTGAATCCGAACCAGTATAAAAATTTCGGTATTTTTAATTCCTGCAATTATTCTCTGCATTTTACTTTCCATTACCATATCTGCTAAATTATCATATTCAGCCGACTAATTAAGTTTTAAGTCAACTTATAAGTAATTAATTTGAAGTATTTACAATTCACCCCCTGTACTTTCAACTTCTTGATAGGAAATTATTGCATATTCCTCAGGTCTTCATATAGTTATAACCAGCAGCTTCAAATGTCGTCCATTTTGCCTTCAGTAGCTTCCTCATCACCCAAGATGCATGTGCATGATTAATATCCCATAATTATTGTTTATTTTAAATCAGTAAATGTATAATGCCATTGTACCGACTTTTTTGAATTTTATATTGAATTTTCTTTAAAAAATATCTAGAAATATTTGGGATTATCTTGCGGGATATAGTATTTAATAGTATATGAAGTGCTCCATATTTATTAACCTTAAATAATGGGTCGTATGATCACTTTCTCATCAAGTGTTACTGAAATGCGTTAATCTCTTTGTTCTTCCATATTCATATTATATGTTAAGATCTACTAAATTGTTATATCTTTTTCGAATATGAAGTGATTATTATTATTTAGGTATCATATTGATTTTATGTTTGACTAAATTCGGTTAACATTGAAAGTGTACATCAACGAAACATTATTGTTAGTCGACTAAATAACTATTATGTGTTACTAAGAAAATTCTCCCGCAAAAATATTTTAATAAATAATATGTCTGTCAATTTTTTTATATTTTTACTAAACATATATTTACTTATCAAATTTAGCAAAGTAAGATTGAAATAATATTTAAGTAACAAAAACACGAAAAACCAGAAAAATACGTCAGAACCGAACCAATCCAAACCGATATAGTTGGTTTAGTCTGATTTTAATAAAAATCAAATCAACCGATCCATGTACACCCCTACTCTCTATAATAGGCATTTGACAATCCAAATGTACCTAACCTCTATAATGACATATTAACATATAATATGTCTTGTCAGTGTATATAACATAAACCCTTGCGGATACTATATATATTGAATTGATCGTCACCACTATCCAGATTTCTTTTTTCCTGTTTATCGTCCTATGCGTCTTAGAATCAGTAGTGTGGCGGCTAAGAAATAAATTCATAAAAAGGAAAAGTGGAAGAAAAGTATGACTGGACTTTGTAATAAGATAATATCTCATTGTTTAGTACCGTCATAACCCTTGATTATGTCATAACATCTTGTACTAATTTACATTATGAAAAACGTAATCATGACGATTGCCCACGAAATTCTATCCCTCCCAACTATTTGTTTCAAATTTTTGCAAGCCAAATTAACTTGAACCAATATATTAGACATTTGGCTCAACGCCAGATTACTTTACAAAATTTGTGCAACTCATTCAACCAAATGCAAATGGTATACATATTTGCTTACAACTTAAGGTGAAAATAGATAATGAGATTGCTGGTGTGAAATAATACGAATATCAAACCATTTATATATCTCTAACAAGAGTATATGAAATAGTGAAAGATAGGGTATAATGGAAGAAAAAGATGTATGTGTAGGCGAAGGTGAGACAGATTATTTACTTACGGTCCGATGCTTTCTAGGAGTCTTTTAACCTTATCGGAGAATTTTATGCCAAAACACATATAGTCAGAATTTTCGTTAAGGGGTGTCAAAATACATAAAAGTAAACATACCAGGAAATTAAGGGGAGTCAATACATAATATATATATGTATAATTTATTTTTTTACCTACCTATACAGTATATTTTTCCCGCGAAGGAGTATCATTTGACACCCCTTCCTATAAGGTGGCTCCTCCACTGTAGTCGATCTCAAAAACTTAAGATAATTATAAGTGTTCTAACAAGGGATATGAAGTTGCTTACTAGGCAATATTGGATTAAGTTGCCAGGTCAGATTTATGAGCAATTTGGATACTAAACTAGTTGTAAGAACCCTAATGTTTGGTTCAAACGCACTAAGAAGCTGTCAAATAAAGTAAATGCTCTAGTCATATGTATGTATCCAGTGAGAATACGTAGAACTTGATTAAAAAAGTACGAAACCAGATTCAAAATCTGGGAGAAAAGCACTCAGCTTCTTATTTATTTCGTTAACTTTTGCTTGGCTACTTGGAATTGAACCTTATTTGAATACATGCTCTATTAGGATTTGGTAGGTGAATTCCAATATTTGTCATCCACTTGGAGTTTTCAAAGGCATTATTATTTGATCGGTGTTCCTCTAATCAATAGCATTTTCATTTGTACAATGATTACTTTGATTAGAGATTACCATACAATAAAGTGACGATGTAAGGAGCATGTTTAGCTGATTAAAAGTAATTGATGAGCATCAAGTGATAAAAATTATTTACATGTTCGGAGATTCTTTTTTTTTTTTTTTTTTTTTTGGTTAAAGTGAATGAAATGAACTTAGGGGTTTTAAAGTATTTATACATGAAAAAGAACGAACGACGAAAGTTGAATGAAGAATTAAGGACTTTGTTCTGTAGGGTATTTTGGAGTTTGAAAATTATTAGGAATAAAATAGTAGAAATTTTGATGAAACCAAAAGTGTTTTTAACTGAACGATTATAAGTTGCTAGTGACAAACGTGTGATATTTGACTGACTTTAGCTTATAAATACTTAACTTGTAAGTATTTTTTTTTATTGAACAAATGTAAAGATAAGCCAAAAAGTGCTCGATTGACCAACTTATAAACCTGTCCAAACAACATTTTTATCTTCTATCCTCTTAAGATGGCTGTTGTCTAAATGACACTATACACATTGATGCAATAGTTACCAAGTTTTTCTATTAGGTACTTTCAGAAGTTGAAGACTCCTATTTGTCACTATACAAATCTCAATGCAAATAACTTAAATAGAAAGGTAGTTCCATAATACATTGTTTATCAGTAGTTCAGAAATAATAAGAATAAAGTTTATTCTAATTTACATCTGGGTCGATTTAGTTTTATTCAAGTCGGAACCAAATAAATATAAAATCTTTAAGCTTCAAACAAACTCCACTCATCTTCAAGACTATCAGATTAAGGAATTAATTAACCCGCCCAAAGAAAATCTACGAAGTTAGTAAACAGTCCGTGCACAAAATATCCTGTATTCAGGGAAGGACCGCACACTAAGGGGTGTGATGTAGACAGTCTATCCTAATGCAAGCATTAGTGGCTGCTTCCACAGCTCGAACCGGTCACAAGAAGAAAACTTTACCGTTGCTCCAAAACAACTTTACGAAGTTAGTAAACAGTGTCTGCAAAATTCTAACAAGAACCTGGCATTGCCCATCTTCCCAAGTGAGCTTTTATAATGCAAGTCAAGGCATGTTAACACCAAGTTACCGACCCTCTCAAATTCACATAAAAGTCACAATAAGGAGCATAATAAATTTGCAATTCAGATCCTGTACTTGGCACCATATATGAGAAGATGAACCAGAAAAATAGATCAAGAAGCTGACAGTAAGCACCAAGAGCAAACACAGTACCGAATTCTTGGACAGTGACCCTAATGGGCTTGAACTGAAAGCAAAATTCCACTTTCCATGAATGGGTCCAATCCACTATGAAAAATTATGTAAACACTTGTAAAGCTTAGAGAAATCAGTTATAAAAGTTCAAATTCAAGCTGTCACTCTTTAGTATCTGCTTCATACACTTGTCTTTTTAGGATAAATGGAGAAGGTCAGCAATTATGAGCTTAGAAACTCAAACAGTAAAAAGTCAGAGAGAAAAGTTATAATGAAGCTACTACTCAACCAGCAAAAAGGTAACAATCAAAAGTTGTTTTTGCGAGTTGTAAAGCAAAATCCCCACCAAGTTAAACTAGAAATTTCCTCTCTCCAGATGTCTCTCTTTCCAAGTTTTGCACCAGGAAGAGAGACAATTATTGAAATGGTGGAGCGCCCACGAAAAGAACTAGCAATTTCAGTTCTAGAATACGTAGTTGGTCATGTAGTGCGTACCATTCAGTTAAATTAAATATGGGAATCAACAACATTAAGTAAATGGTGGAGATGAATGAAGACTTATGCAGATGCAATCATCTGTCTGATTGAGGAATATGATGGATTGATGGAAAGTCCAGATGGAAGGTCTCAATTTATCTGCCAAGAAAACCTTCGCTAGTCATTGTTACAAAAGAAAGATGGACTAAATGAAGTAATTGATGCTTCATCATTCAACAACGAAATATCAGTCTCATTGTTTTGCCTTTCTGAGGTCTCCACTTAAAAATTGGTGTACAGAGACTTGCAGTTGAAATATCATACTGAAATGTTGGAACATCTAAGAACTAAACTGTCTAAATAGCTCCAATCTTTACACGCGTTCTATAAGATATTCCGCTGAGCTAACACAGAATGCAGAATCTAAGTGACTAAGATCCGTATAAAACAATTACAATAGCTGTCACAATTGGGGACCTCACACAAAGTTCGAGGAAATCTGTGGATAAAAGGGAGTGCTCACAACGAGAAATAGCCTTGTTGATGAATTGCCGGTGAAAGGTAGGTGCCAAATGTAACCCTGAACCTAGAAATCAATTATCAGGTCTGAGATTGCTTACTTTGCGAAGCAAAATAATATTAGTTAGTGAATTCTTACCTCAATCCTGTGGTTTCATGGCTGATGGGACTTTTGACTACTTTTAGATAAGTTGGGCCTTCTTTAGATCAGATATAACTCCTCTATCTTCTCTTCCCCTCTCATTGTATAGAACCTTTAAACATTTAAGTTAAAATGTAAACTGCAGGTCCTTTCATATCCGGAAGCAAGTAAAAACAAAAGTTGATAGTTATTTCATGGAGATACCTTATCAATAATTCCATATTCTACTGCTTCACTAGGACTAAAGTACTTCGGACGTCTTATGTCTGCTTCAATCTCCTCAGGTGATTTTCCAATATGCTTTGAATACAATTTCACCTTAAAAATAAATGTGTGAAGTTAGAAAAAATAGGCTAATTAATACAGTGCTCATCTTCGATCCTGCAGAAATGTGTATCACAAAACAACAACAACAACAACCAAGTGAAATCCCACAAGTGGGGTCTGGGGAGGATAGTGTGTACGCAGACCTTACCCTACTGTGGAGGAGTAGAGAGGCTGTTTCCAATAGACCCTCGGCACAATAAGATGAAAACGAGACAATGTAGCAGTAACAGGTTATCACAAAACAGAAAATAGAAATCCTTAAAAAGTGCAAAGTTGTCCCTTAAACTTTTGTCACAGTACGCAAGCATTAGCTTAACAGAAATTTTAAAGATTACCAATTCCGCTTTGACATTCTTTACTTCTTTCCTCATGAGCTCGACATCTGTTGCTTGACCCTGAAACCGAGCAATTGGCTGCAAAGGTATATGCGTTAGCAATTCCATCTTTAATATCAGTCATGGTTGTGTTTGTAAGATTGCAATTTTTTTAGAGGAACTCAGGGACAGGTCAGTCTTATAGAGAATATTTTAGACGACATAATCAAGGAATGGGAAGAAAACAGGGAGAAAGGAACACAGAAACACAAAAGGTCTCCAAATGACCTGCTTAATCATAATTGTAGATGAGGGCAATGCAGCACGATTTCCTTTTGCACCAGCTGCTAAAAGCAAGGCAGCTTCTCCCCATGCATTTCCAACACAGAGAGTAAATATAGGTGGCTTGACATATCTGCAGCAAAAGTAAAGGTGTCTGTTGCAGGCTATAAGAAACAAAGGAGTCCCAGAAGAATAATGCTTTCATTAATTTCCTCAGGTGTAGCGGAAGCGAGGGCATAAGAGCAGAAATTTCAGAAGATGTTGATGTTGAGGGCACCTATAAATAATATGCATACAGAAATTTTTATGTCAACCATTATTGCAGTTAAAAAACGTGCTTTAATTTTCACACATTACTTGTTGAACTGCTAATAGAAAACTACACAAACTGTTGAATTGTGTGAACCACTGCATCTATAAGCTTAATGTGTTAGAGATTGGACACTTTAATTATTTTAGGCCCGACATGCCCCCTCACACGTAGCATGATTCTTTTTCTTAGGTTAAGCGTGTGAAAATATTTTTTAGATGGGTGGTGAGATTCAAACCAAGGACCATTGCTTGCTTTAATACTATGTTGAACTGTGTGAACCACCTCATCTAAAAAACTTAACTGTTACAGAGCAGACAATTTTATTAATTTATTTCAAATCCTTAATACAAACTTTAGCTGAATAAAAAAGATTTCAAGAATGGCTATAAATTATAAGCTCGCATAACGAATAGTTTAGTATGAAAAAGAAGAGTCTAAAGTCACATTTTGGTACAAGCAAGGAGCATTTAAACGTCTTGCAAATTGTGAGAGCCGCAAAATAGGAAACACAGATAGGCAATTGCTCATTTCGACTGGAGACCAACGTTTTCTATTGCAATACACTGTAAAATACTACACAACTTGGGTTTAAACCACCCACCCTCTTCTTTCTGAAAATCCAAATTTTGATAAGCTAAAATATGATGCACGCCTCTTACCTTGTACATATCACCCGGTATTTAATCCTACATATTCAGTTGCCAAAATAACTTGACAGTGCATTCTCTAGTTGCTTCTTGCCATGTGATTATAACGAAAACTAGAATATGGCAAGAACGCAAGCACAATGGCTCCAGTCCTCTGTACAATATACTTTTTTATAAGCTGTTCCAAATATGCTTCTGAGTGAAGATCCTTCGGAACAAATATACAGAACCATACTTATCAGCAGATGAGCCAATCAGAGCTTTCTCATTTTCTGGTGCACCTTTATCACATCAATTTATGACTTGAGAGAGGCTAACCAAGGTCGAACACTTTCACATCTTTTTTTCTTTTTTCCCATGGTAAAGATATATTTAGAATGGCAAGTCCAAAATAACCACCAGACAAATCTCAAGCATCCATTCAAAATCTATCTTGTTGAAGAACCAAAATCCTATCTACACAAAAATCTTACCGTTCAAGTCTTTTATCACAGAATCACTACCAGAAAAACAAATTAGTAATAAAAAAAACAACACTAAAGAGACATCTTCAAATATGACTCGAATGAGCAAAATGGATAGAGAAGCAATATGTGACCTCATAACATCATATATAGCAAAAGCCTCTGTCTCATAACCCAACTTCTCACCACCCTGTAAAATAGAAAATTATCTGAAAGTAAGTATGATAAAAACATGTTCGAATTATACGTAATCAAAAGTAAATAGGGTTCAAATTAAGTCTAGTAGAAACTCAAACTGAGCTTACAACAGCTATATGTTTAGGATCTCATAGAACTGCCTGTATAGTGCATTTCTGAAACTAGACATGCAGCAAGAGTGGCTTTCACAATCAATTGTCAATATCACACTCACTTTCCTTCAAGTTGGAAGAATATAAGGGTCAAATTGGTAAAACAAAAGGGTCTTAGTTGTTTCTAACATGATCCTAACATAGATCAAGCACAGTGCCTGAAGCAATAAATTATAGCCAGTTTGAGTTTATCCTCTAGCAAGCAATACCTACAGAAAAACCGCAGATTAGCAACTATTAAATGGGAGAAAACCCCTCTCTATTTGATACATTGATACCAAACTTCAACTTCTTGTATAAAGCTATCTCGTTGGAAAATTAGTGAAGCAAAAATTTCAATACAACCAGCTGCGTCTGACCGGAAAATCAAGCATATAAGATAATGGAAAATACAAGGCAAAATGAAAAGAAAGCAACCAGTTTTTACCTTGGTTGTGCCAGTAGAATTTACATAAAGATAGATTGGCTTTTCCTCATCCTCATACTGAAGGTAAAGAAATTCAGCTAGTATCAATTCCGTCACTGATGGAACTAGAGACATGCCCAAGTAAACTATTCGATTCTTATACAAGTAAGATGCTAAATCTGGAGGAGGTTGTTCCCATGCACTTCCCCTTGAGAAAGGAATAACCTGTCACCAAAAATGTGCACAAGTTTAGAGCACTAAAGTCCCAGTACAAAATACCAATACTACTTTCTGTTAAAAATTTCCATCACATTAATGAGGAAAAATAGGTACATACAAAAGTGTTCTTTTTTTTCTTTTTGACCTGTAGGTATCAGTCAAAAGTTTGTGATTTTAATGCATCAGCTGATAACAATTGAAATAATAATTCCTCCAAGGCCGCTGCCTCCACTAATTTCTATTCTAGTGACCCAAAATCTTCAAGTCAATCGAGAAAATATCATCAGCAGTTAATGTAAATAAGCCTTTTTCTCCCATGTCACCAGACAATCCATCTAAAAATATTTACAGTGGATAAGAAACATAGAACCCAATGAATTGCAGATCACTTCCCCAAGGCACATCAAACCAGTTTGAACAGAGTTCCTAATTTAACAATTGTAGCCACATAAACTGTTCCACGTTTATTTTGCTTTATCGTAGTCCTATCTATTTTTTTCTTGTACCTCTGCTATCATCAAACTCTTCAATAAGGTCTTTTGTTCAGGCCACACAGCGACTTAAAACTTTAATGCAGCCAGAAATAAAATTCTTCAGATCAAATGGATTATCCCTGACCATGTTAATCTTTTTTTTCTTCTATTTTTTTTATGAAAAGGTAGGAAGTTTATTAAATAGTACCAAGTACTGAAAATAGAGCATCCTTCTATAGATTGAAGAACTGCCTAAGATGTAAAAGTGAGTCCAAATAACAATACTCTTCTTACTCCACACATAAAGTCAAACCTCTCTATAACAGTCTCGTTTGTACCGACATTTTTTGGTTGCTATAGCGAAGTGCTATTATAGAGAACATATATTATAACATAACATGAAAAATTGGTTCCAGGAAAACTTGTCCGTTATAGTGAAGTGTTGTTATAGAGGATGACTGTTATAGAGAGGTTTGATTGTCCATACTTTTTAAACATCCGGCCTATACAATTGAAATATCGTCCCTCCTATCACTAAAGCACCTATTATTTCTCTCCATCCTAGCATTCCAGATGTGCAATTAGAAACAGCATTCCACAACTGTCCACTGCCATTGGAAAAGATCTGTTTATACCAGCTGCATAGAGCAAGCTTGATACTTCCTGGCACGACCCATTTGGTCCATGTTTCCTGACAATTTCAATCTTCAAACTACCTAAAGGTAGATAAAGCTGTTGAAACTTAATTGCAAAGTTTGGAGTTTAGTTGGCAATAACAGTTACCGGTTGGAAGTATTGTCAGACAACAATTGGATGTTTTCTAAATGTTTCCCACTGCCCATCATCTTCTACACCAGATTTGCAATGACTTCTGAGAATCCCTTTTTGTCAAAAGAGAATCATGTTCTTGACTACATATGGACAATAGCACAATATAGCTTTGGAGCATAAACACTCATCCATGATATCCAGAGACCAAATCTCTCAAAAGGAAGCACTGATTATTAATTTCTTCCTTTTTTATATGGACTTCAATTTAATTTAAACAATTAAACTCCCTCACCATAAACCATAAAGCTCTTCAACATATTCTTGGGTGTTTACAGTCTGTTTGAGTAGTTTTGTAACAGTCCAGTCTGGGGTGTTACAAATTTAGCATCAAAATTCAATTACTCAACCCATCCTATGTATTTCAAAAAAAAAAAATAATCATACCAGAAAACAAAGAGGCGTAACCCGTCATCTGGTATGATGGTTTCATTTTCCTAGTTGACTAACTCATGTTTTGGATGCTTTGACATATGCAGGAGAGATCTTAACTTTTATATGCTGTGAAGTTAGCTTAGTAATACATTTTCTAAGAATGTTTGGTTTAGTTTACTTTTTGGATGTCTTAAAATGGTTCGGATCTTTGAATATTTCTACACATATTCTCAATATCCACTTTATGGAACCTTTTTGTGCTACTATGATAAATATGGCACACAAACCAAATCGCTGAATTGCCATAGTTTTGAGCTGGCAGTTTCTACAAAACCAAACCAAACAATAAACCACTAAGTGCCAACATTTTAAAGGCTATCATATCCAAACAACTAAGGCAGATGAACTTTGAGTTTCTAAATTGTTCCTTTTTTTCTATAAAGATAGTGCTTGTCAGTGATCACCTTGACTATTCCACTGGGTATGTACTACCTCCCGCCAGCACAACTGCATCGGAACCCGGTAACTATACCCACCAAGGCTTAGGTAGATGGAAAGAAATCATCTACATTTTTATTTTATTTTTTGGGACCGCTGTTGAGATTTAAACCCCTGTCTCCTGTGTTTTTCATCCTAAGGACTTGTCGAGCTATCGCTGTAGCACCCCCGAGGGAGGACAACACTTATTAACAAAATTAATTTAATACTTGACTAATTTACTAACAATCACAATATGTCAATACTAATTAACAAACTCCTCAATTCTGCCCATATATCAATACTCAACCCCTCCCTACAATGTTTTTTTTATGACAAGTGGTGTCCGGGCCAGCTTGGCGCACCTCAACTATTCCGCCGGCTACCTACTACCTTCCACTAGCACAACCCCTCCCTAGTATGTTGCATCAACTAATGTGTGATTACCATATTTTACTAGCAAATAAGTTCCACCACGATAATTCATGGACCTACCCATCATTGCAGAGCTTCACCGGAGCAACACGCCATGTTAAAATTATCATCATTAAGTATTTCCCTTGTTTGTTCAGATTAAAAAATATGCCAATAGAAACAAAAGCTTGAAAAAAATTCCAATTCCTTTTAGATTGTACGTCTCAACCACTCCTTTTAAATTTACCGATCAGTAAAAAACAACAAATTGGAAGCCAAAGCCGACACTTACCATAGTGACAACGCCACGTTTGGGGCGAGAGCTAGAGGAAGAAGGGCGAAGAGAATCGGGTCGAATTCTATGACCCGAGAAGTCCGCGAGTACACTACCGCCAACGAATGGGGAGATAAAGCTCGTCGATAGAGAAGATTTCGGAGACGGCGAAAAACTCAGAGTCCGTTTGGGAGCTGACGAACGGCAGCTCGCCGGTGATGATAGCCGGACTCCCGTCGCCGGTGAAAATTGGGAAGCGATAGTCACAGCTTCCATTGTGTTTGGAACTCAGAGAGAGTGAAGAGTGAAGGATTGGATTAGAGTCTGGGGTTTGAATTGATGCAGACTCGGAGTAACCCGACTCGTATTAGACTCCGGGCCATACCACTTTGGGCCGATCCAATTCTCAAACAATTATGTATTGTATTTGCAGTCCGGTCCATGAGATCCATAAGCCCGTTTACAAATGTTCAAAAATTCAGAAAAATTTTCATAAAGCACTATCTTTTAGCAGTAATTAGCCATCTATAGATACCATTTGCTATATTAGGGATTATAGATACCTTTTCTGTGGTTATAAGATGTACTTAAGCTATTGTATTCATGAATACAGTAGCAAAAATAGGCGTGAATCAGGGAAGTCCAGCTAATCAGTTGTTGTATTCGAGTGTATTCATGGAGTGAAACATGGGATTACAGCTGGACAGATTTTGTATTCGACTGTACTCACGGCGTGAAATAGGGGATTACACTGTTTTTAAAACGAAAAGTGAATCAATTAACATAATAGACTCCTAATATAACTCAACAAACTCAATTATAACACATAAATTTTGTATTTTCAATTATAAAAAAGATTCTCAACCGAAAAATACCCCTGTCACGACCCAAACCCAGACCCGGTCGTGATGGCGCCTCTCGTGGGGACAAGGCCAGCCAACTAAACCCAATTCATCCTTATAAAAACAGTTGAACAGTTCATAAGCAGTTTAAATATGATTTAATGATAATAATTAGCGGAAAAACAACCCGACACAGCCCAAACCAATGTGTCACAAGTCACGAGCATCTATTAAAGTATGAATACAACAGTGAGGTCTAAAATATACAGAATAGGACTACTGAACGAAAGGGAGAAAAGCGGTGCTGCGTACGCTGGCAGTCACCTTGCTAAACTCTGATAACTCTGCCTCCGGTCAGCCAAAACCCGCTACCGGGTGTATAAATACTTGCATCTGCACACAAGGTGCAGGGAGTAAAGTGAGTACTCCAACTCAGTGAGTGATAAAGGTAAATAACAACTGAGCAGTAAGAAATCACGTATGGAAAATCATCATGCTGTATAGAAGCAGTATAAAACCCCTTGAGAAAAAAAAGCAGTGAAGCTGTGAAATCTTTAGAAAACATCTTAGCTCAGTTTAAACCTCTTTTGAAAATGACTTTTTCAACAATTATGCAAATGAATGCAAAACAATTAGTGCAGATAAGCACAGCAATCCGCCCCTCGGGCACAACAGTCACTCAACAGATAATGCCAGGCAATCAGATAGATACCCCGTGAAGTAACATAGACAACAGATAATGGCAGACAAATGAAACAATGTAAACACATAGATCAGTAACATATAGTAACTGCTGCGGCGTGCAACCCGATCCATATATTTCGTCGACGACGCTCACTGGGGGTGTGCAGACTCCGGCAGGGGCCCCTTACGGCCCAAGCGCAATATCAAGCCATCTTGTGGCATCAAATCTAGGCCCTTGGCCTAATGTCGGTACCAGTATAACACTGCTGCGGCGTGCAACCCGATCCAAAAGTATCCTCACAACACAGGCCCTCAGCCTTACTCAGTCAAAAATCACATAGGCCCCTCGGGCAACGGTAAAACACGATGCTCAGCCCAAAAAATAGTATTGGAAATATCATTTCAAGGGTTAAAGCAAAATAAACNTATATATATATATATATATATATATATATTGTTGCGGCATGCAGCCCGATCCAAAAGTAACCTCACAATACAGGCCCTCGGCCTAACTCAGTCAACAAAATCACATAAGCCACTCGGGCAACAATAAACTTGATGCTCAGCCCAAATTATTATTGAAAATATCATTTCAAGTGTTAAAGTAAGTAAACTTGGCTGAGTTTTGAAAACAGTGAAAAAAATACATGGCTGAGTTCAAGTATAAAATCAAAACAGTGAGGAAATATCAACAATCATCCCCGAAGGGGTTCAAATAGCTGGCACGAAGCCCAAATATGGCAATCAGCCCAAGTCATGATGATAACAAATAAGTTTCAATAAATTACACAGTAAAATCATCAATCGGGACGGACCAAGTCACAATCCCCAATGGTGCTTTACTCCACGCTCGCTATCCGGCGTGCAAATCACCTTAATATAGCACTACGATGTGCAATCCGGGATTTCAAACCCTCAGGATATCATTTACAATCATTACTCACCTCAAACCAGCCAAAGCTCTAGCTCGCTATGCCCTTGTCTCACAAATCGGCCTCCTCATGCGTCGAATCTGACCAAAACCAGAACGAGTACGTCACAATATGCTAAGGAACAAAGCCCAAGCGAAAACAATCGAAAAATATCTAAAATCCCGAAATTGGCAAAACTCGAGCCCCGGGCCCACTTCTCAAAACTCAGAAATTTTACATCAACGGGTTCCTTATCCTTCCACGAGTCCATACATATCAAAAACTCTCAAATCCGACCTCAAATGGCCCTTCAAATCCCAATTCGAAATATCAAAATCCCAAGCTCTAGTTCTTCCATTTTTTAGCTAAATTTCCATAAATTTCTAGGTTAATTTCACAATAAAATCACGTTTTAGGTTCATAAAACTTACCTCCAATCAATCCTCTTCGAATCCCTCTTCAATTCTCTCAAAGAGCTCTCAAAATGTTCAACAATGGTGGAAAAATGACTTAGGCTCGTGGATGAAATGTTTTAAAAACCCTTCTGCACAGCTATGATTTCCTTCTATGCGAACGTGATGGTCCTCTCGCGTTCGCGATGAACAAATATTCCTCTGACCAAAATTATCCTTCGCGAATGCGGTGTCCCACACGCGAACGCGATGCCCTGGGTTTCTGAACCTACGCGAACGCGGTCCCCTCTCCCGCGAATGCGAAGAGCATTTGCTCTGGAACCTTCTCGCGCCAAACAACTCTATGCGAACGCAAACACTGAAACGCGAACGCGATGGACAACCAAATGACCTTCCGCGAACGCGAGACTCAAACGCGATCGCGAAGGCAAAACTTGGACCTGCACTGCTGCTGCATTTTCTGCTATATTCTTCAACTCCAAACTTCCCGTTAGCCATCCGAAATCACCCCGAGGCCCCCGGGACCTCAACCAAAAGCATTAACACATCCTAAAACATCATTCAAACTTGTTCCAATCATCAAAACACCTCAAACAACATTAAAACCATCGAATTACATCGAATTCAAGCCTAAGTTCTTCTGAAACTCCCAAAACACGCATTTGATCAAAAACCCAACCAAATCACCTCCGAATGACCTAAAATTTTACACACACATCCCAAATCACACAACGAAGCTACAGCAACTCTCAAAATTCCATTCCTACCCTCGGATCAAAATCTCACCTATCAACCGGAAATCGCCAAAATACTAACTTCGTCAATTCAAGTCTAATTCCACACCGGACCTCCAAAACCACTTCCAATCACGCTCCTAAGTCATAAATCACCCCTCGAAGCTAACTAAATCATAAAAATTCCGATCCGAGCTCATATACAAATAAGTCAACCCTTGGTCAAACCTTTCAAATTCAAAGCTTCAACTGAGACCGTTCCTTCAAATTTATCTCGATTTTTCCTGAAAACCAAAACCAACGATCTACATCAGTCAAAATACATTACACGGGGCAAGTCATGCCCGGGAACTGGAGATCAAAGTGCAAAAGCTCAAAACGACCGGCCGGGTCGTTACATCCTCCCCCACTTAAACACACGTTCGTCCTCGAACGCACTCAGAGTTGTTCCAAAAGCCAACCAATCACTGAATAACCTTGCCATGCATATACCTGGGGGTGATCCCACGTCACCCTATCTTATATAGGTCCGATAACATATAGAAACTGAAATTACACAACCCAGTCTGGCCCATAAGCCATGGAATCACATTCTTCACTTCTGAAACCAACAATTCGATCAAAATCTCACACTTATACTCTGAATAGGCCCGAACCAGCTGTAATAACCCCTGCCTGCAACCTCAAGTGCAATTATCTGATATACCACGTAACTCAAACACATGTAGTGATAACTTCCATTCACAGCAGTTGCACGCAACACCCGAATACCGGTAGAAAACCTCTTATCAACTAAAGTCTCATTCCAACACTCCATATACTGCCAATGATAAATGAAACACACAATAAACCATAGCCATTTCTCATATCAGCCATCCATAAGGTTACTCCTCCTTTGGCAAGGACCATAGCAAATTTCTGAACCGAACCTCGATATTTATCCATCAAAAAAGCTGAAATCAAATCCGTTTGTATTCATTACAGACCCAACGACCTCATCTAATCCAACACAATTACTCTGGTGACATGACACACCAAGACAGGCTAAAGCCATAACTTGCGCAGTCCGCGCACCAATAAGCAACAATCCGAACATGCTCACATCATGAAACTAACTCAAACGAAAGAGCTGTACCTCAAGCTCACCAGTATCATCACAACACACGGCTGATAACCCGCAAGGTCATATCTCCACATAGCTTCGCTGCAAATGCGCGATCCTAACCAAACATGGCTCCACATGGGACACCTCAAGTCACTATGCTCGAAATTGACAACCACGCACAATCTGATGTCTGGAACCAAGCAAATCATTACACCCTCGGTGAAACAAGTAACATATACCATGCAAGCCCGATAGTACATAACCGACACGCCATTTACTGAGCCACACCCAATTATTCTCCCTGCTTGACTTCCACTATGAACCCAAATAGAACCGCACCATGTGTGCCCATAACCAACAAATCTTAACATCTCGCAACACAGAAAGGAAACTCATAGATCTCCCAGATCACTAGTAAGATCAACAACGGTCGGAGCAACCGATCCCTCACAATACAATTCGGGGCCAGCCAAGCCGACTCAAACTAGAACACGCGTCCACATTGGCCTACCAACGAACTCTTTATTAAGGAAATCCTGAAGCTGTTTCTCACAACTCCTCAACTCTGACGGTGCCCGGCACCGAATCAATACCGAAATCAACAACCTTGCCCGGCGACATGCCCGGCCACAAGAAACGCATCCGAA